GAGATTTTTCTTAGGCTCATTTTGAACAAAAGCGGAGAAATCTGTTTCATCCTCCACAAAAATTTCACTCATTTCGCTCTCATCAAATTCAGAAACATTTTCAGTGTTAAATGTATTTTCCGAACTCAATTTCGAGCATAATTAGTCAAATTTTTGTACAGTATTAGATTTAATCTACTCTTTATCTTTCTCATCCACCATTTTTTTAGCATGTCTTTATGAGCTTTTGACTGAATGTATGCTTCAATTTTGTCAATTCCTACTTTGTAAGATTCAGAAACATCAAATTTGGAAACATTTTCCTGCCTATTTCACAGCCATGATGCAGTTGAGTGATGTTAAAATAAAGACGGTTAGCAAATAAACATAAAATATTTCTTTGTTTTAATAGCCCTAAATTTTCTCGTTGCAAATAAATAACATCATCTCTAGACCTACTCAACTCTAACTCCAATTTCTCTATCCAAATTCGTCTCTCTTCACTCTTGTTCGTAACCCTGCTGACTTGATCATTTAGGTTAGAATTACTTAAACGAGTTCTTTTAAGCTATCACCAAATCTAGAGACGATAAATTTTAAGTCATCTAATTTAGATTCAGAACGAGTGACTGGAATATTAAGAGACTTAAGAATATATTGTACCTTACAGATTACTCTATTACATTCATTGACCTGTTCCAAAATAGGTCTTGCAAAAAAATAGTTGTTGTAAGTTTGACCGCCATTAGTAGCATATCCTCGCTGCTCAGATACATCACCACAAACCATCAAGCATCTTCCCTTGTACTCTAGAACTTCAGGCTTCACAACGAAACATTGACCATGCTTGGGTTTTCGAACTTCTTCCTCCGAATCGGTCGGCTAGACTTCAACTCTTCCAAACTCATCATCATCTTCCTGCACAATTAAGGCAACTTAGCACCATCAACATTCTTTTTCTTTCTAATCTCCTCTATCTTTCGGAGATAGTAAGCCTCGTCGTCTTCTTCGTCCTTCTTCTCACTCATTCTCCTTAACATGCACTCATTTTCCAAATGATTCTTTCCATGACAATACTTGCAGTCGTAGCCAAAATCTCCTATCAACCTTTTCTCTTTCTTCATCTCATCTTTTATAGAGTTTTTAGGATTCTCATCCTTAGCCTTTTCTGAACTGTAGTTCCCCTTCCAGTTTCTGTTTTTGAGGCGTCCAAAGTTCTTTTTCACAAATCTTTTGGGATTTGACACCATTAGAGCATATTCTTCTTTAGTGAGTTCACAATCAGAGAGATCAGACTCTGAACCTTCTTCTTCTACCCTTTTTCCCTTCGCAACCAGGGCCAGATATCCCATCCCAGAAACAACCTTCCCCTCCTTTGTTACTTCATATTTGTGGGATCTAAGAATTCCCACTAGCTTCGCCAAAGAATAGTTCTTGAACTTTTAATGAGCTTTAACAATAGATACCACCTCCTTCCATTTGTCCCTCAAACCGTTCATAAACATGACCTTTTCCTTGATTATTTCACGTCTTATTTTGTGTTTCACCATCATACTCAGAAAATGATTGAAACGATTGAACGTTTGATCTAGCTTCTCCTCTGGCTTCTGAGCAAAAGCTCCAAACTCCGAAAGGAGCAGCATTTGAATCGCGTGTTCTAGATTTGCATCGCTAGAGTAGAGCTCTTTTAATCTATCCTAGATTTCCTTCGTTTTTTCATAAGAACTGAGCAGACGGAAGGTATCAGCTGGAAGAGCAAATCTTATAATCTTCAACACCTTCATGTTGCTTATCAGCTTGTCTTTCTTGTCTTGAGCAATACATGTACGTTCAACAAGAAAATCATTACAATCAACCTGAGTTTTAATGACCGTCTTTGTCGCCGTGTGAGAGCGTGTTTCAATAGTCATGGCGTGCCAGATGCTCGAACCGTGCTCCTCAATCCCCAAAACATAGACCTCGAAATGTAAAGCCCAGACTTCATAGTCTTGTGGGAAGAGAATTAGGATCTTGGGTGTCGATCGTATACCGCTTGAAAGACTGAGAGATTGAGTGTGAGGATCATCGTGCTTCATGTCGTTGATTCACTTCAAACCTATTCCAAATCAGATGTGTAAACTAAAATCGAGTTTACGGCTTAACAATGAACTAGATCTAACGTTTCCAATCAAGGAAAGTGATGAAAACGATAAGAACAAATCCACAAGCAACTTAAAATCCTAATGACACTCGACAAAAGATATGCATATGATTTACACAATCTCCTGCTCTGATACCAATTGTTGAGACAATAAAAATATATCGACAGATTCTAAACAGAAACATGAATCAAAATAAACAAAAGCAATGATCGAAGTTGTGCTGAACGGTTATAAATCAATACCTTAGAAAAGCTTAATGAGAACTTCTTTGTAAAGACAATGTAGGGCAAATACAATCGATAACCCTAATATGATGCATGCATGCACTATAAATAGTCTTAGCCTAGAATCATAAATAACCGGGTGGAAATGTCCAACCCATTACAAAATGGATTATTCTAGCATACAAAACGATTTACACAACATAAAATATACCAACAGGATCATAATATTTTTCGTTCATACTTTATTGCATCATATTATATTTGGATCATAAAATTTTGAATCAAGTTATTTTAAGTAAAAGTATTTTAGATCAAATTATTTTTGAATTATATGATTTTAGATCAATAATATATTCAATTAAATATAGTTTTTGTTCAAACAAAAATTATGAATCGTTATATATTTTGAATTATTAAATTTTTAATCATGCAATAAAAAATTAAGGATCATAAACAAGTTGAATCAAAAGTTTTTTTTGAATCATAAATATTTTGAATCATTACATTTTGATCATATTATGTTTAACATAATTTTTTAAAAATGAATATTTCTTAAAATTAAAAATAAATACTTCAAAAACACATTTTTGAATTTTTTTTACAAAGTCAGTAGTATATTGAGTAGAATGTATTCCAGAAGTTTTATGATTTTTGAAGAATTTTTTTTTCTAGGTTTTTTATTAAAAAAAAATTAAACATTTGCCGGAAAATGTTAAAATCTCGCACATAATTACAAAACGTCACATCATTTCATAAGATATTGACGATAAATAAAATCAAATCTCCACATTTTATTTTTCTCAATCCTAAGGCAAAGATTTATTTTTGCAATCGTCATTTTTTTTTTGAATCATTTCTCTCTCTCTCTCTCTCTCTCTCACTCTCTCTCTCTAAATGTGCATATATATATATATATATATATATATATATATATATATATATATATATATATATATATATATACATATATAGGGTTAGGTTCATATGAGACGGCCTAATTTTGTGAGACCGTGAGACGCATTTTTTTATTTTTTTTATTTATTTATATTTTTTTTTAATTTTTTTTAGTTAATTCAAGTTCTGAAAATAATATTTAAATTTTTTTTTTGATTTTTCCATTTATTTTACATTTTAAAATTATTTTTAGAAAATGTACAGTGTAATATTCTATTTAAAATATTTCACGTATTTTTCAAAAAAATATATATATATTTTTTATTTTTTTGTTTTTTATTTTTTATTTTTTTTAGTTAATTCAAGTTCCGAAAATAATATTTAAAAACAGAATTTTTAGATTTTTCCATTTATTTTGCATTTTAAAATTATTTTTAGAATATCTCAGTCTAATGTTCTATTTAGAATATTTCACGTATTTTTTAAAAAAAATGGATATTTTTTTATTTATTTTTATTTATTTTATTTAATTCAAGTTCCAAAAATAACATTTTAATTTTTTTTTTGGATTTTTCCATTTATTTTGCATTTTAAAATTATTTTTAGATTTGGTCTCACGGTCTCACAAAATTAGAATGGTCTCAAATGAACATGAACCTATATATATATATATATATATATATATATATATATATATATATATATATATATATATACATATATATATATATATATATATATATATATATATATATATAGAGAGAGAGAGAGAGAGAGAGTTAGGTTATTTTGTTTTTGATAAGTATTGTATGCATGTGTAAATGATTCTAGGCCAATCATTTGTGGTAAATTAAGAAAATGATTTTCCTTTAAAAGTAAATAGAAAAAAAAACAAATTAATTGGATTTCATTAATTGGTCGGTCATGGAAGGGTAGTATGGCACATTACTTTCGTCATTTTAATAGGAAAGAAACTTTTATTTTGGAAGTGATCCTTCAATGATAATTCCCAATATCTTGCATACTATCAAAATCAAAAACCCATTACCTTCGGAGATCGAAAAGGATTCTGATTTTGTGTATTGAATCTTCAAAATTGGAAGAGTCTGTGAAGGTTTTAATATGTGAAGGTTTTTAATATAAATAGCGACATTAAACCCTAAAAGACGGAGAAGGCATTGGGGGGGTTTCTATGAAGCTTATTCTACAAGAATGAGGAGTACAAGATCAACTTCATTCAAGTTGAAGTTCAAGACCACAAAAGAGACGGTGTTGAATCTTGAAGATGACGATGATGATTTTTGTCGACAGCTGAAGGTAACGATTTTTTATTTTGTCGGTTGTTTATTGAGTTCAAATATGTTTTATACTCTAATAAGTGTATTTACACTGATTTATGCATGTATGATTTGTGATTTGAAAAAAAAAAAAAAAAAAAAAAAAGGTGTGATTTTTGTGTAATTCCTTAAGAAAAAAAAACTAGTTATGGATGTTGTTCTGCTACAATGTTTGATTCATGTAAGAGTAAAATGTTTGATATTCTTTTAGAATAAATTATGTTCATGTATGAGATAATATTATAATGAAAATTTCTGTAAATAATGAGTGAAGTAACATGGTATAATGATTTGATATTTTGTTGGAATTAATGAAATAATTGAAACATTAACAATTCTTAGAGAATGATATACTTTATTTTTAAAATATTCTTTTAGAATAAAACTATGTGTATGATTGTGAGTATATACATGGATAGTAGATTATGTTTCAAGAATCTCAAATTGGTATGTATTATATTCTGGTGGAATTTGACTTTGTAAGTAGGATGATGTATATATGATTAATGAATTAAATTGGGACATTATAAATTCTTATAGAATTATAGAGTTTACGTGTAAAATATTCTGTTAGAATAGAAATATGTATGTGATTGTGACTATATCAATGGATAGTGGATTATGTCTCAAGAATCATAGGTTAATATGTATGATATTCTGGTAGAATTCGATTTTGTAAGTGGGATATTGTGTATATAATTAATGAATTAAATTGAAACAATAACAATTCTTATAGAATGATGGACTTTACATTTAGAATAGTTTGTTAGAATGGCACTACGTATGTGATTACGAGTATATCCATGGATAGTGGATTATGACTCAAAAGTCTCAAATTGATATGTATGGTATTCTTGTAGAATTAGACTTATATTCTGTTAGACTGCAAATATCTATATGAGTTTGACTATTTCCATGGTTAATGGATTATTTCTCAAAATTGACATTTATGGTATTGTGGTAGAATGTAAAGTTGGACATTTTTTGATAATGTGTTCTTTATTTTGTCAGAATTGTAACTGTGTGTATAGTATGTTTACTTTATGTTAATATACTTTTAGAAAGTGTGACTAATGAATTAAATTGAAACATTTACAATTCTTGTAGAATGATAGACTTTGTAATATATTTTTATTCTACTGGAATAAAAAGAATATCTTTTATTTTAAAACATTAATTAACATAATGTGTTTTAGTCATGCATTGAATATATTATACTATAAATTCTAATATTTATTATGTGTTATAGCAGAACAAGAACAACACGTGAAAAGAGAAATAAGGTCAAAGAAAATTTTTGATAAATCAGTTCCAGAAAAGAAAAGTCATAAACCTTTAAATGGACTACTCTTGGAAAAAGATATAAGGTTAAATAGAAAATATGAGAGAGTTCCAATTGAAAAAGATATAAAGAATAAGGGAACTGATGAATCTGTCAAAGAGGAACAAGAAGATAGTGTTAGGAAAACAAGTAAGGAATATCCACCGGGTTTAAGAAACCTTCCAACCAGAATGAAATGTGATAACATCACTACAGTTGTTAAGGGGATGTCACCGGAACAAAACAAGCAATCTTAAGAATGGGTTTTAGGTCAATTTTGCAAGTGAATAATACAAGTTATCCGGGACAACTAAGCTACTATCTTTTAGATGTGTATGATACCGATAGTAGAAGACTTGTCCTACAAAACTCTGTTATTAAGATCACAGAACAGACAATGCATGATATGATGGGGTTGTCAATTGATGGAGAAGACATCAATGAATTGCCGTTGTATGATAAGGGAAATCAAATTCTGGAAGAATGGAAAGGACAATATACTGGTGATAAGTTCAATGTTGAGGAGTATTTAAGAAGGATTCAGGCTACAACAAAAGATAGTTTGATGTTTACGCTAAATTTTTTGACCCTTTTCGTTAAAAACTTCATAGAGTCAATGTTGATGGGGACAAATCAAATCAAAGTGGTAAGGAAGTTGGTGTTGGTAGACGACTTTTAAAAGTTAAATTGGTGTAAATATATGCTTGACTATTTGGGATCAAGGAAGAAACTATGGGAAAGGAATGACAAATCAAGCTACTATAGTAGTCCTATTACACGCCTCATAATAAGCGTGAAATTGTGTTATATGAAAATATAGATTTGGTATTAATTTATTATTGATGTATTGATTAAGTTAATGTTTTTTTTGGTAGTTAGTATACGTGTATAACATGAAGTATGCTATAAAGTTAGGTAAAAGGCTTCCTTTTAATGGGCATATTACTGGTGCTAATTTATTAGAGATTCAACGCTTTGAGATCAGTGTTGGAGGGTTCGGTAGGCAATTTTGGGATGAGCATGAGGATGTGGATATGAAGGATGAAACAAGAGGTGAAGAGGAACAATTGGTCAGTTTTAAGAGGGATTTTGGAGATGAGGAGGTAATAGTATATTTTTAGTTTATAATGGATATTCTCATATTAAATAAAATATTTTGTTAGAATATAAATTACATATTCTGGAATAATACTTAATTGTCTATATATTTCTCATATTAAAGATGTTGACATATTCTTGTAATATAATTAAAAATTAATTATAAGTATTGCAGGCGTACGCTGCTCTTTTAGAGCATAGTTATGGGATAATTGTAACCGAAAAACACACTATGGAAGTTGCGTTGAAGGATGGTTTGGAAAAATTACCTGATAGTGTGGTGCTGAAGGAGTGGATGGAAAAGATGAATGAGCATTTTATGGAACTGCATGAAGGGGAAAACAACAAAAAAGTGCATGAGTCGGAGGGTTATAATAATTAAATCTAAATGATATAGGTGATGATGGTGAAGGAAATAGTTCACCAGTACGAGAATTGATAGTTAATGAAGGTAATGCACGCGAAGATGTCAATTATTATACACCTGTCGATACTAATTCTTTAACAATGACTCAGTTTCATCGACTTCCTGGGGTGAATGAGGAAATGATTTAGATGTTGGATGAAACAGAGTTACGGATGTATAGAAGGAAAAAGCTAATGTCAGAATTCAGTAGGGATAATGTGGTGGAAGAAATCTAAGAGAAGCTATTGATAATGCTGCAGAAGATGATGATAATGACAAAAGGGAAAAACAGATCCCTAAAAAGGCAAAAATATTTCATTCCCCATATATTGAAAGAATTATTAAGGTTAGGGATAAACTGAGTAAGGATGAAATAGGAATATGCAATTCAGTGTTGGCATCTAATAGAGATGATGGGCAAATATATATGAGTCGCTTAGTATTTTTTTAATATACAAATGTGAATGTATATAGATTGATTTTATATATAATTTTTGTTACATGGATGAGATTTGGGACATTGGAACAGGTCATTTGTCGCTAAGCATTTGAAGTGCTAGTTTGGTTTTTCTGAAGATAAATATTGACATGAAAGTAGTTGAACTTATTCTTTTGCGATTGTTTAAACGTATATTTGGTTTATGTTAGCTTTTAGATAAACTACTTTGTCTTTTAGAAGTTTTGAATCATTGTTACGATACTTCAACTTATATCTTATAATCGATAATTTGTTTTGATCTAATGGTTTGTGTTGATGCATTCTTTATTTTTGGAATGATGATGAGGTGTGTTGTGAAAAAGCAATTATGTTAGAATGATTAATATTTAAATACTATGTTTTGATGGGATGCTTGTGAAAAAAATTAGTATTGAACTGTTAAGTTGTTTTAGATAACCCTTAGATATAATTCTCAATTAAAGTTAATAATGGATGTGTTGATGTGTTTTTTTTTTGTAATTATATGCTAAGATATTGTTGGGTGGCCGCATTGTTTTTGACAGATTTCTCATGCTGATAGAATATTTTTTATTGTTATTGTTATACTAAAATATTTTACAATTTTCTTATTTTCTAGTAATGAGATGTAGATGAAAAATGTATCTTTTGGTATGATGTAGTCTTTTTTAAATGAAATATGTGTATATAAATGTGGTATTCAAAAAACAGTAATAGAAAATTATGTTGGAATGAATATGTTTAGGAAATATGTAGTCTTTGAGAAGTGAATACTTGTATGTAAATGATAGTATGCGATGTCGAAAAAATTCTACACGTTGTTTATATATTATAGAAAACAATAACACATTATGATAAAATGAAAATCATTATTAAAATGGTTAAAAAGAGTTGTATAACTTACTATAAGTCATGAAAAAAATGAATGTACAGATTTGATGGAATGAATATTTGTATTTATTTATGTCATAATTCTTAAGAAATAAAAAAAGCAGAAATATTGTTAGATTAATTAACAATGGCATCATCAGTAAGAATAATTGTGATTCTTAACAAACAATCAAGGTGAATACTTTATTAAACGACATAAAAGATAACATTGAATGTGAAATGACCAAATTAAAATGAAATGTAATTTTAGTAACAAAAGAAAATTATTGACGTTCTTTACAGGGTCGATCCAAAGATATAGTGGGCTCAAGGTGAAAAGAAAATTTGGGCTCCAAAGCTGAATATAGACAAACCGTTATAAAATTTACTATTAATATTAAAAAACAAAAATATGGTTACAACATTACAAAAACAACTAATTTAGAGAAAAATATTTTTTCTAGCATTTATAGATAAGTTGATTTTTTTCTCTTTATATATATATATATATATATATATATATATATATATATATATATATATATATATATATATATACCATATATTCTAGGAATTTTTGGCCCTTTAGAAACATGGGCCCAAGGTGACCGTCCAGGTTGCCCACCGTCTGGACCCAGCCTGGTTCTTTAAAGGACAATTTATTTTGTCATGATGAACCATCTGTTCACATGTAGCACACGTCCTCTTAGGTTTCGAGCTTTCTTTCTCAAGCATCTCCTTTCTAGATTTTAATCTTTTCTCATGACTGTCGCATCCTTTCTTACGAATATCAGAAGGATTCTGAATGTCACTAGCATTGGACACTACATCAGGAACTACCACGCCTAGAAGCTTGTTGAAATGTTCTGTTATGTTCGGCCTATCATGATTTGGAAAATTGTCTATGAATTTTTTTCAACTTAATATACTCGTCAAGGTATAACTTTAACTTATCTACATCATGACTCAAAAAAGAAACACAACGATCAACAGTTGAAAAAATATCAATAGCAGTCATGTCGAAATTTGAATCATCAAAAGAATTAGTAAAGCGTCTTTTTAGTAACTTTGTTGGAATAACATCCCTACACCAATGTCTCAAAATGTACTATTCAGGGATTTGTTCGATGGTATAAAAGTTAAACACACAGAATGTGTCTGCATAAGATCCTGACATGTTCAAAATGCATACAAGTACATTTAAATGAACCATCTTTGGTTAAGTGTGTGACCTGGAATATATAAGATGAATAGTGAGAATATCGAAGTTGTAATTATTTAGAATTTAAATTGAAATGATGAAATGATAATTAATGAGAAAAAATATATTGTGTATTCAACATCCCTTATAAGACAATCGTAATTGTATTCTTCATCTTTGTCATCAACAACGATATTATTTCTTTGCCTAGTGGTTATGTTGTATTCTCCAAAACAATAATTGTGTCAACACCCTTGGAAGATATCACATTCTTTTGGAAACATTTATCTTTAGATATTGATATCTCTTTTTGAACCTGATAAAAAATCTTGCGCATATATACCTTTGAAGCATGAGGTTCGTTCGGACTACAGGTGATGAATTTAGGAAAAGTGGTGGCAATATTAAATTCAGTGTGAATTTGATTATGTCTTTGTCATTCCATAACTGAATCAAATGTCATCATAAACATGATAAGATAAGAATCGGTTAGTGTGGTGGTTTCAAATAACCAATTCTAACTTCTAGACAATGATGTAGTTCGCATAAGACCAGACATTGGAATGTGCTTGAAAAATGTAGGGATCCAAAATCTTCGCAAACCATACATGGTTTTCATCCAAATGTTATCTGTAATTTTGACCTCCTCCAACATCATATGCCATACATTCTCAAAGTCATGTGGTTCCAACTTAGAATTCCAAATTATAGAGTGAAAACGCTTTCGAAATTTTTGATTGGTGGCTGCATCTTCGATTGATAACATCTGTATAAATTGAAATTTAACGAGGATGAGTAAATAATAAATTTAAAGCACTTGATGTTTGTTTCAATAAATGTTATGTACGAAGGAAAATAGGATGTTAGTTTTAATTTAATATTTTGTTAGAATAAGATAACATTATTCTAGAATCTTGACAAAAAATAAGGATAATATCCTTTGTATGCATACCTTATTTGGCAACTTCTTTGTTATATGCCACATACATAACCTATGTTGTGCCAACTGAAAAACGTTATCTATAGCTTTTTTCAAGGCTGGATCCTGGTAAGATATAACCAATTTAGGTTGTTTTCTAAAATCTTTCAAGAAAGCTCTAAGAAACCATTCATAAGAAACTCCATCTTCTTTACTTAAAAGTCCAACACCAAATGTTACACAATTTTTATGGTTATCAATGCTAGTGAACGGAACAAAAACCATATCGTACCTATTTTAAAAAGAAAATATTAGTTTAATTAACTAAAAACAATGAAATTTATTTGTAAAAGTATTTAAGGTTAGAAATACTTATTCATGTTGAATGTCACATCGAGTGATACAACGTCTCCGAAAGAATTGTAGTTATACTTTGCTGTTTTGTTAGCCCAGAATAGAGCATTCAATCTCTTGTTCAACACTTTATACTCAAACGTAAATGTTGAGACATTTTTCTTCCTGTCATTCATCGTGTCAACAAGGAATTTCGTGTCCCTCCTACCTATGTAACAATTAAGATTTCTTCTAGCATCCTTGAAATTTGAAACCAATCCACCTCAAACCGAACAATCGCCCTGTAGAGCTCTATGCAGTCTATGTGCTATTACATGAGCAATATTTTGTTTTGACAAATTATGATGAAAATTTCCTGGGAATAATCAAGTTTTCTCTTTGTATGAGATAAGTACATATTGCCCTTGCTAAACAACTCGTGATTATGTTTCTCGACAAAATCACTCACGACATATTTATGAGTACCGGGAATTATATCTAAAACAACTTTCGCTTTACAATCCCTCCTAAATAAATCTTTCCTTCTTTGAGTTTTATTATGCTGATTGTCCAGAGTATCTACTTTACTAGTATTTGGATTACCTTACTGATTGCATACCAGATGTCTATTTGTAATAATGTCGTATATCGTTTTTTTACTCTTCCAAGTCTGACATCAAAACCAGAGACTAATGCATAGTTTCTATACATTGTTACTGCTTCACCATATGAATCAAATTTTGAAGTAACTTTTGGTTTGATATCATTTGAAACAATCGGGGTCCAATACAAGGTGCCACCAGGAAAAACGTAATCATATGTAACATGTGGTTGTCTTGTTTAAACATAACAAATACATGATTAAATATTTATGTATGAAATAACCAAAAAAAATGTTAAGGAATATAAAAAATGATAAAAATATTATTCTGTAATAATTTTATAAATATTAATTTGAAAGAATTTTACTATTATGTAAGAATTTCAATATCCTGAATTGAATTTATTACCTTCATTAAAATCAATATTAACCTCTGTATCTTCATCAATGAACTGAATTTCGTCTTCAACATGTTTTACGTCATCTATATGTTCATCAATGAAAATATTAACATATAATATTAAACATGTTTGTTACAAGATAGAATCTGAAAAGACAACAAAAATTTGAACAAAAAATTCAAAAACTCACCTAA